CTCTAAAATCAGAAAGACAAACTTATCAACTATCTCCACTCCTGTTTATTATAGTTCTGGAAATATTAGCCACAGCAATTACACAAGAGAAAGAAAAAAAAAAAGGAATAAAGCTAGGAAAGGAGCTGTCATGTAAAGGTACAAGATCCCAATGATGAATGTAACTGTACTGTATACCTAAAATGTACCAATAAATTCAATGAGAAAAAAAAAGCTAGGAAAGGAAGAAGTTAAGCTACTTTTATTTGCTGTTGATATGATACTCTACATAGAAGACCAAAAATACTCCACCAAAAGACTTCTAGACTTAATTGACAGATTCAATAAAGTAGTTGGATACAAGGTCAACACTCAAAAATCAATAACCTTCTTGTACACAAATAACAGACTCACTGACAGAGAAATTAGGGGAACAATTCCTTTCACAATAGCATCCAAAGAAATGAAGTATCTTGGAATCAATCTAACGGAAGCAAAAGACCTTTGTTGAGAACTACAGCACTCTGAAAAAAAGAGATTGAAGGTGATATGAGACAGTGGAAGGATATCTGCTGTTCCTGGGTAGGAAGAACAAACATAATGAAAATGGCCATACTTCCAAAACAGCTATATAGATTCAACGGGATCCCGACTGAAATCCCTACAGTATATTTCACAGAACTAGAGAAAATAATCCAAACATTCACTGGAACTAGAAGAGACGTAGAATAGCAAAAGCAATTCTAGGCAACAGGGACGTGACGGGGGGTCTCACAATCCCTGACCTGAGACTATACTACAAAGCCACTGTGATTACAAACAGCATGGTATTAGGCTAGGGATTTAACTCAGTGGTGTTGCTGCCTGCCTTGTAAGTGCAAGGACCTGAGTTCAATCCCCGGTATCCAAAAAAAAAAAGAAAAGAAAGAAACAGTATGCTACTGGCAAAGAAACAGACCCAAGGATCAGTGGAATAGATTAGAAGATATAAAAACAACTCCAGACATACTCAGCTTCCTCATCTTTGACAAAGGAGCCTCACTGGAGGAAAGATAGCCTATTCAATAAATGGTGTTGGAAAAACTGGATTTCAACCTGACAAAAATTAAACTAGACCCATATCTTTCACCATGTGCTAAACTAAAATTGAAGTGGATTAAAAATCTAAATATTAAAACAGAAACACTAAACTTGCTGGAACATAGGTAGAACTCTTAAAGATATTGGCATAGGAAAAGACTTTATGAACAAATCCTCAGTAGCATGGGAACTAGCACAGACAATCAACAGGTGTGATGTCTTCTTATTAAAAAGTTTCTGAACTGCAAGAGAAACCACCAGCAGCTTAGAGACAATCTGCAATGTGGGAAAGAAATTTTATCAGCTGTTCTTCAGACAAAGGACTACTATCTAGAATATATGAAGAATTTAAAAAATATCAGACTCCCCCCAGATGTAAAGACCTAATTCAAAAATGGTCATCTGAAATGAACATATTTCTCAGACAAAGAAGTAAAAGCAGAAAATAATCATATGAAAAAATGTTCAACATCACTGGTCATCCGAGAGATACAGATGAAAATAACACTGAGATTTCACCTTACAACAGAAAGAATGGCTGCTATCAAGAAATCAAACAATAGCAAATGTTGTCGGAGTTGTGGGGAGAAAGGAACCCTTCTCCACTGTTGGGAGTGCAGACTGGTGCAACCACTATGGAAATCACTATGGAGATACCTCAAAGAGCTTGGACTGGAGGTTCCATTTGACCCAGGTATTCCTCTGTTGGGTATCTTCCCAAAAGAATTAAAAGAATCATACCACAGTGGTATATGTGCACCCATGCTCATAACAGCACAGTTTGTAATAGCTAAAACTTGGAAACAGCCCAGTTGCCCATCAACTGGAGACTGGATAAAGAAGATGTGGTGTTTTGTTTTGTTTTTTTATAAAATGGATTACTACTATCCAACCATAAAGAATGAGAAACTAGAGAGATTTATAGCTAAATGGATGCACATTGAGGCCATACTCTTAAGTAAAATAATAAGTGAATAATAAGATATATGTGTAAATATTGAATAGTTTCTGTGGTGTGAAAAAGTGTAAATAAGGATTAAACTGTATAATTGATTTTAAGTAATGGGAAGAAAATGTCTAAAGGAGTAGGGAATTAGGAGGGGTAGGGGAAAGGTAAGAAGGGAAAAGAAAAAATGTGAGAAAAGGAAAAAATGGAAATGAAGTCTTTGTAAATAGGAAAGGGTGGAGGGGGTGAAGGGAAGGCAGGGAAATGGAAAAAAATAACCAAGATACGTCATGTAAAGGTACAAGATCCCAATGATGAATGTAACTATTGTTTACTAGGTATTCCTCTGTTGGGTATCTTCCCAAAAGAATTAAAAGAATCATACCACAGTGGTATATGTGCACCCATGCTCATAACAGCACAGTTTGTAATAGCTAAAACTTGGAAACAGCCCAGTTGCCCATCAACTGGAGACTGGATAAAGAAGATGTGGTGTTTTGTTTTGTTTTTTTATAAAATGGATTACTACTATCCAACCATAAAGAATGAGAAACTAGAGAGATTTATAGCTAAATGGATGCACATTGAGGCCATACTCTTAAGTAAAATAATAAGTGAATAATAAGATATATGTGTAAATATTGAATAGTTTCTGTGGTGTGAAAAAGTGTAAATAAGGATTAAACTGTATAATTGATTTTAAGTAATGGGAAGAAAATGTCTAAAGGAGTAGGGAATTAGGAGGGGTAGGGGAAAGGTAAGAAGGGAAAAGAAAAAATGTGAGAAAAGGAAAAAATGGAAATGAAGTCTTTGTAAATAGGAAAGGGTGGAGGGGGTGAAGGGAAGGCAGGGAAATGGAAAAAAATAACCAAGATACGTCATGTAAAGGTACAAGATCCCAATGATGAATGTAACTGTATTGTTTACCTAAAATGTACCATTGAACTTAATGGAAAAAAATTCCAACAGTCATGCAAATAACCATCTTTTTTACCCTTTTGGTATGTTTTACCAAATGTGTCAATAGGTACATGCCCCCTTTTAGTAATTCCTTGGCATAGATTATGATTCACTTTAATCAATTGATAAATATCTATTTATAAGCATTTGTGTTCATAAATCAGATGGATAAAAATTTCTTAGGTGAATTCCACAAATTCTACAGGTTCTGTAAGCACCCAGATCATATGATGAACTCCCTTTTAAGAGTTTAGCATATTACTGTTTATCTAGAAAAATTTCCACCAAACCCTTAGTTTTCCTAATGCAAACATTTCAGTACATAATCTTTGTTGAGCAGTCTGTCTTTGGAGGCAGTTATTTTTTTCCTCAGAGAATTGATGTGGGGTAGGGGGTAGGTAGGTGCTACCAAGGTACAATTGATATCAATTTAATTGGGTTCCATTATGAATGATTCAAGCTTATGAGCCATATTTTTTATAAATTCAAATTTACTGTTAATCTTCTGTAAAGAGAATCCATTCTGAATTTGCAGATTTATCTTGTTCTGGAGAAATCCTTAAAATAACTTCATGTGGTTTAAGAATATTGTATGGTATTTATCTCATCAGACAGTAACTTAAGCACAGAACAAATGAGTGGATGAGAACAGCTTTAAATTAGAACAGCAAGAAAAAAACCTCAACTCCTTATTAGCTGAAGACGAAGTGCAGTGTGTTGCTTGCTGACCTCCGTGCTGAGCACTTGACTTCCTGCCTGTTGTGGTTGGCCTAGGGGCAGGCTCCAAAAGGCTGACAAATACCAAAATGGGCATGGATGTCTCAGTCATGATTTGTCATATCTTTTGGAAACTGATAGTACTATTGGAATGTAGCTCTAGTGACAAATTAGTGTATCTGCGACACTTATAACAGGTTTCCGTTTCATTGATACTGTGATTATCTTTTCACAAAAAAGAATTAATTACTATAAAATCTACTGTATACCAGAGTCATATTTTCTAAACTGTATTTCAAGCAACACTAGTGTACCGATGTGTTGATAGATGTTAATTTTTTTAAAATGTGATCAAACAGTGAATAATTCTTGGCTGATATATATTCAACAAGCCAAGTGCGGTGGTTACACACTTGTAATCCTAGCAGTCTGGGAGGTTGAGGCAGGAGGATCACAAGTTCAAACTCACGTTGGGCAACTTGGCAAGATCCTGTTTCAGAATTTTAAAGGGGCCGGTTGTGTAGTAGCTCCATGCAAAGGCTATGAGTTCAGTCCTCAGTACCAGGAGAGAAGGCGAGGGTGGCCTTCAGTTAAGCACTGTTAGCCTTCTGTTAGCACTGTTCAGAAATTGTAGTGTGTTAATGTGTGAATCTCTATGAGCAGATGGTATACTATGTTGATATAAAAAATATCTAGTGTTTCTTAAACCTCTTTGACTAAGTATATTTGTCAGAAAGTCACTGGGCAGGAAACTCTTTGGGAAACCATGCTCTAGACTGGGGATTCTCGGCCTCAGTCATTGCCATCTTGGACAGGTCACTGTGTGGCCAGCTGGCTGGTGTTCAGCAGCGATCCTGGCCCTTCCCAGGCCTGCTGATAGCGTCACCCAAGTCCCATCCTCGCCTGTAACAGAACTGCCTCTAGACGTTGCCAAATGTTCCCCCAGGAACAAAATCTACTTAAGAACTGCTGCTGTAGATTAATAATTGCAACATCTCAGGGAGTTACAGGTTTATTGACAGTTTCTATCTGACATTTTCCTTTTATTAAAGAAGAAAGAGTGGTCTGGAAAGTGGAACACAGGTTGAAAAGATTCAGTATAATTACCAAATAGACTTTTAGGTCCACTTTATACCCTGTCCCCATTTGCTAGTGATTATTAAGTGGTGAAATTCCTACAAAAAAATTCAGACATTGTAAAATATTATATGGTGGAAGCATAGAATATATAATTGTTATATTAGTATATAATATTAAAAGAGCCCAGGTACTTGCAAACACTCATTTCTAAAGTTTATTTTTTTCCTTTCTTGTGCAGGGATATTTTCTTCTTTTTGAGTCTATGTTAGATTCTGTCCTTTATGCAAAGAACAAGTACTTGGCAAAAGGAGGATCAGGTAAGTATAAACTTTTACTGTTAACATTCTAATTTTAGTCTGGTAGAACCAAATTAAACTTTGAATTTCAAATAAACTGTGCATCACTGAGAAACTTCCTAATAGATGTGAAAGATGTTTCCGTTAGAAGAAATGTTAAGGCATCTGGGTATTGTTAAAAGCAGAACATTGCATAAGGTACACAAAACTCCAAATTAATGGTATTTTCAAGAATACTTATTAGAAGGATTTTTTAAAAAACTAGATTTTGGAAGATTTTTAATATTCAAATCAAAATTTAAAGAAGCGACTTTTCATTTTTAATTCTTGTGTCATTTATTTGCTTTTTTTCTAATAGCATATTTCATGCTAAGTTGGAAATTATTCACTTTAATAGCAGATGTTTGTGATTTTACTCAGTGTATAAAGCTGGCTTCTCTGTCATTTCATGATAATGTTTAAACAGTGTCTTCTTGCTTTCCAGAAAGGTTTTAAAGCACCATATACCCCACAAGTACATAAATAGTCCCCAGTAAATGGGGAAGGTTTTTTCATGTCTGTAGAAAACATTTTATCATATTAACTCTGCATCCTCAGAGGACAGTATGTTTGCACGCACAGCGCCACTGAGCCAAATCTCTAGCCCTGAGGAGAGTATGTTTTGCAGGCCTTCTGTTGAACAAATGTCTGAGGCTCAAGGATTATGTTTGTTCCCCTTCATCACTTCAGCATACTCCACAGCTTCTGGAGCAGGATAAGCAGCATGGTGTGTTGGCTGAGCTGAATCCTTTGGACTGAGTTAAATCCCACCTGTCCCCTTCACTCATCCCTCCCTACACCTTGCTTGTCTGAGGGGTTTTCATTGTGTGAGGACAGGTGGTGAACGTTACCTGGAAGTAGATGGAAAGGAAGAGTGAAGTTCAAGTAACGACCAAGTCCTTGACCGTAGTTGTGCCTCCTGCCTGTTAATATTCGGTGGAATTCCTTTGGCAGTTATGGTACAGTGAAAAATCAGTAAGGCCCAAAACATAAAGAACAGAGAAGAATTCTCCAGAACAGTAGAGTTGTTTTTATAATACCATTTAAATGAGTTTGCTTTTCTTTTTCAAAATGTGCCTATTTCCTTGGTATATTTTCTACAACAATTTCAAGATATGTTCCTGATCTCTGCCATGATCCTGGCTAGAATTTTTAGATATGTTTTACCCTTCTACAATTGGCTGTATATTTCTGTAATTATAGAGATTTGGTTTTTTTGTTGATTGCCTACTAACTGTCAAATAATATCCTCTACCTTTGTTATTAGATATAATCCTCATCAACAACCCTCTGGAATCATAGTAACAGTTTCATAAAACTGTCCTGAATGACATTTGTTAAGTGGCCAAGCCTTGATTTTTCTTTTTTAACTCAGATCTGCCTAACTCCAGTATTCATGTTTTCACTTAATTTTATTTCACTAGTAAAGTACAATCTGTCTCTTTCTATGAAGTTCTAAAGAAAGATTCAGATAAGTGTTTCCCTACCTCCCTGAATGGTATTCATTGATCTTACTGACGAACTGCCAGCAACTTATTACATTTAAATTGAATTCTTGGTGAAATTCATTAAGAACCTACAGCATCGTGAACCGTGGCAGGACTATTTCTCATTATCAGAAAGAAAAAAGGGAGGCTTCTAAAGCTCCTTTGCTCCATATTTTTAGATAGCTGATATTAGTGCTAAGGTAATCTGGAGGTATGTTGAGAAGAAGTCATCATTTCACTGCTCTGAGCGGTACTGTTCAATGTTATTTGTTAATAGAATCAAGAGGAAAATGTCAACGATGAACAGCATGAAATGGTTTAGCCCATTTGTGTATGTGATGGTGCCTGATTTAGGTGCTCATTCTTGTCATGTCGTTTTGAAAGGAAGGTTTACTAAGCAGTTGCTAATGTGAAGCTTTTAGAAAATGATTGAGTTATGAGAGAAGGGCCACATCAATATAATGGGACCTTTTTTTTTTCTTCTTTTTTTGTATGGGAATTGAATCCAGGGCCTTTGCACTGTGCTGCATTCTCTGCCATGTTTATTATGAGGCAGGGTCTCAGAAAGTAGTTGATCAGGATGGACTCAAACTTGTGATCCTGCAGCCTCAGCCCCCCAGAGTGCGGGGATTACAGTCGTGCACAGCATGCCCATGTCTATGATTTATTTCTACATGAACTTACATTCAGTGTGTCTCTCTGTTTCTGAGGGGCGTATGTGTGTGCGCGTATACAGAGACAAGAGAGGAAATAGAAAGAATAAAGGTTTTATAAAACATAGTCATCTAGTAACTTGAGTTTTGCAAAATATAACTTGCATTGATTTTTTTTAAATGAGAATGCTAACTTATATGTTAAAGTATATTTATCTCATCATCCCTATTGTCACCCAGCAGTTCCACAGCACTTTAGAGAAGGTACTCAATTACCACTACTATTATTAACAAACATAATTTAATGAAAGCAGATTTACTAAAGGCTGTTGCTACTTTTTCTAGCTAGAATTTACTATGCACTTATTGTATGTCGGGAATTGTAGTGTTTAACATTCAACCAACCCAGAGGTGAGGAGGAAAAGTAGGAATATGTCTGAATTATGACCAGTGGGTATTTTTGCAACTAGAGTTAAGGTAAAAACATGTATTTTCAGATAGTGATATGGAATGTAAGTGTTTTATTCCAATAGGAAATCTAACAAAATTTGGGTAGGGGATGCAGAAGTGTTTGTGACTTAATTGCTATGTCTTTAATAGTAGGTGTTTTAGAATATCATTTAAAGTTGACAGATCAAGTCATGGAATTAGAAGCACCTTTAAAATTACAAAGCTAACATTAAAATGATACTGTTTACTAAACTGAATAAATAAGGGAGGGCAGGGGTAAGGGGAAAAAATGAGAATCAAGACTTGTCATATAGAGGTACAAGATCCCAACAATGAATGTAACTGTACTGTATCCCTAAAATGTACCAATAAACTCAATTAAAGCTGGAAGAAAAGATAAGGGCTAAGGATGTAGCTCAGCAATAGAGGACTTGCCTAATATATGGAAGACCTGGGTTCAATCCCCAATATCACAAAAAAGAAAACAAAAATTGAGTGAATGAGGTTTGTGGTGATAGGTCCTGTCTGTATCTTGATTGGGGGTTCATTAAACAAACAAAACCAAAAATGTGCATTTTCATGCACATACAAAAAGAGTAATGATGAAATAGCAATTCCCACCTCATTCCAGTCAAATGTATTATGATATAATTTGATTCCTAACTTTTCTGAAAAACATGTTAAAACTGCTAACTCTATGCCCACCTCTGTTTTGGTCATCATTATCAATACAGCTGTCGTTTTAAAATGTGAGTGCAACTTAAAAGGAGAGAAGGAAAAGGGGAGGACAGGAAATACCTTGTATCTTTACTCATGGCAAATAGTAAATAATGCTGGAAATAGAGAACCGAACATGTTATACAAGGTTATAATTGTAAACTACTAGACGAAGATGAAGACCTTCTCTATACAAGCATTAATGTGGATGTAGGCCCGTGGTAGAGTGCTTGCCTAGCATGCCATGTTAATCTCCTGTGTATTGTTCCAACTTCAGTGTTTCTTTCCTTTTAATAGGTGAGTTTAACCCTTTTACATTTATTCATATGTTAAATATTTTTTGTTCATGAATATTTTCTATTTTCATACTTAATTTCTGTTTTGAAAAGCAGTTTGTCACATGGATTTTCACTTTTTCCTTGTGTATTTTTATCTCTTGTTAGGGCTAGGGAATCAAGCCTAAGGCTTTGTACACACTAGGCAATCACTTTACACTGAGTTACATCCTCCAACCCTTTTCCCTGTATTATTTTTATAGATAGATATGAAGTTCCATGTTTTCACTTGAATAGCTTACTTTATAATGACAACTTTACCTAACTTCTTTATCTCCTAACATCAGTAATGACAGTCAAAGATGACACAGTCAAAAAAGGGAAAATAGTTTTACATCACAAAAGAATACCCAATTATATTCATTTGTAGAACTATTTTTTAAATTACAACAGTTAAATTTGGATGGATATTTAGACAAGTCCAAACAAAATGAAAACAGCAAAGAGGAATTGGAGTGAAAATATTGTATAACAGGGCTTAGATTTAAAGATCAAAATCATATTTCTACCTCATAGATATCTGAAATGTTTTTAGAAAAATACAGGTGATATATTTAAAACTCAACAAGACTCACATGTGCACGTTCACCACTGAATGATCTTGCAGATTTAAATAAATGGAAAGAAGCACCATGTTCTGGGGTAGAAAGAATAAGTGCCATAAAGATGTCGTTTCTCCCAAAATGATTTAAAGTGTAACAGAATCCAAAAATGATAGTTGTTGAAGGTAAATAGGTACATAAGAATTAATTGCTGTGTGCTCTTCTCTATTTTTAAAATAAATTTGGAATGTTTTATACGGTAAAGTTTTAAAAATTCTAATCCTCACCAGCAGGCTTTTCTAAACAGGCTCTTTATAAAATTTATATGAAAAAGCAAGCAAAGAAGAATGGCAAAAAATCTTTGAAATAGAAAGGTACAGTATTTGGGATAGGTGATACTACAGGAGGAGTAGTATTAACAAATATTAAAACATATAATAAAATTTTAATAATTAGAACAGTGCCTTAGTAATTCTTGAAGTGATGAGTTGAAGAAAATAAAAAGTCCTTGTATAGGCACAACTCCATATGACATCTCATATAATTGAGGAGCTGGCTTTTCTAAGCAAATTCTGTTCCCTATAGTCTCATCACTCTGCAGGCTGAGGCAGGAAGATTCCTTGAACTCAGGAGTTCAGGACCAGTCTGTGCAACATAGCCAACCTGATCTCCAAAAGGAAAAAAAGACTTATTTACAAAATAAATTGTATACTATAGATTTCAGTAAGTCATGTTAAATGTAGATTAATTACTGTAGCTTTCTACTAAGTCCTGATTGTTCTTTTTATAATTGCTTTG